GCCCCGCCCCCACCCGCGCCGCGCCGTGCACCCGGCAGCCCACTGCGTCGGGGCCAATGGGGAGGCGAGGCCGCAGCCTGTGCCCTGACCTCGGCCCGCCCCAGGCCCCGGCGCTCCACTCAGGCCCGCGAGAGCGGCCCAACCTCCACAGCCTCCTTCGGCATTTCCAGTAGTTGTTTATGAGGTCCATGGGTGGTGGTTAGCGGTAGCGGGGTGGTACTCTGTGCTGCGGGATGTGCGGGGCTTAGTGGAGGCGAGGAGCAGTTTCCAGGGCTGCTGCGGAGACAGAGAGCTCCATGGCCCCTGTGTCCTCCCACCTCTGCCTTGCCCTTGGAGCGAGGGTAGGGCAGCGTGTGCTGAGGGTCTCGCACCGGGCAGCGCCTGGAAGAGTCGTTCCGCGGTGCCGCGCTCCCACGTCCCTCGCAATCTCTTGAGCAGCCCCTCAGGCCTGTTAGGGATTAATTCTGAGAGCGCCAGCGGCAGCGCGCAGGGCCTGGGAGATGCGCTCTTTTTGGCTAACGCAACTGGTTTTTTCAGTCTGGGAGGATAGGCGGGCAGATCGATGACTTGCTGCCGGTCTAAGAGAAATATTGCAGTCAAATCGAGCTGTTGTAGTGCCAATTTGTCTTATGGGTCGCTTGCGGGGTTAGGCTGGACAGTTTGGTTTCGGCGGAGATAGGGGAGAAGAGAGCAATAGAGCAGGCTGGCCTGCTGCCCGCTGCTCCCTTCAGCCCGCTGCCGCCGCACCGGTACGGGCAAATTCAGAACTGGACAAGTTAGTGTGCCTCTCCATTGTGATCTTGAGGTAAAAGGTAACGGAGTTTGCAGCGTGTCCCCAAATCGCAGGATCAAGAGTCTGCTCTCTGTGTCTCCAGGGTCCTCTTGAAGTCCAAGGAACTGAAGCTACAGGTGTTAGTGTGGGTGCGTAGATCAAAGATCCAAGATCTCAGGGATTTCCCAGCCGCGCATTAAACGTTTTGTCGAACTGGACCAGGCCCCTGAGAACCTCTGTCTTGCGCTGCTCATCTCTACCGGGAATCCCAACCCTATTCACTACCCTGGATGCCAAGATCCTGCAGGGGCATGTCAGGAAGAGAGTGCGAAGAACACAGAACTTAACAGGTGTAAGCTGAAGAGGAAAGAAAGTAACAACCTGAAAATTGGTCTGTGTTGGGATGTGAATACCTCGCTCCACCTCTTTAACCTCGCCACAATTTATGTTAAAATAACTTACACACACCAATATTCTAAATAAATTTTTATCACTGCCATTATACAAAATCAACATGCATTTTCGCCTTATAAGCAGTAAAAGTGGCAGGGATACTTTTCAGTAGCCTTTGGAAAGCAGGATAGGGGATGACGGGGAAAGAATTATGAGAACTGGGGAACCTGACATATTTTCCTAGCACCACTGAGCACTGTATATATTCCAAAATCAAACATCATAGCCCAAGAGTCAAGGGATTCAAGATAGCAGATCTCTCCTAGGAATGATTTCATTGGGTTGATAGTTCTGTCATTTCAGGAATTAGGTGATTTTATACTGTGTTTCTCCAGCTGGCCAGTCATAGACGTTTACTCATCTTAATTAGAAACTCAAATTGGTAGACACAGTTCTTCCTTAATCAACCATAAATGTGCCTCATTGGGACAAGAGTGAAGGACTCAACAGGCACCTCGGTTTCCAAGGCCTCAGAGCCCTTGGCCACCAGAGCTGGGAGGGCCTCTGAGTTGTGGACGGTGCTCCACAAGTCACAAAGCAACACCTCCAATCCAGAGAAGATATTTCAGCAGGGTTGAATTTATGAAATTAGCTTTTTAGATTTTTTTTTTTTAAATAAGCCTGCAAGTTTAGATAGGAAACTTAGGGAGTTGTGAGTTTATGTTAATGGGAGAAGAACAATTTGGAAAAGCAGAGTGAGAATGGTTATATAATATGAAGAATGTAATCAAGGTCACTGAACTGTACCTGTAAAAACTGTTGAATTGGTATATGTTCTGCTGTGTATATTCTCAACAACAAACAAAATTAAATTAAAACAAGAGAAAGCACATCAACCATATTCAAAAGCTTCTTCCCCATGGACAGCCTGCCCATCTTTCTTACTGAGAGTTCACCCTATAAATGAAAGGTCCCCAAGCTAAGATAAACAACTGGATAGATTTTGAGGAAATCCCAGTGCATAACTTTGAAGAGTCTGGGATTTTGCCAGCATCTGAGAGATTCACCAAAGCCTTATATAATTCCCAGAAGGATTGAACTGAGCCTTGCTGAGAGCATAGACAGGGGCCCAATGACTTTTTAAGATTCCTTCCAGGATCCAATTCAACAACCTTAGTAGAAAGGAGCTGACTGTGTGAACCATGAGCAGATTTGTGGCTGAAGATCTCTCGTTTTAGTTTTCAGAACCCATGAAGAACTAAGAGAAGAGTTTTGAAATGTGATGTTGGCAGTAGGGGGGGAGCAAGGAGCTGGGTCTCAGGATTTAGGGGGTCCCTCCTTGGGTTTCCGAGGTGGTATCACTACAGAAGTAGATTGCCCAACCTTCCTTCTGAGGAGTGGCTGGTGAGTTTGAACCTCCAGCTTTCTGGTTAGCAGTCAAATGCCTTAGGTACTACACCACCAGAGATTGCCTTTCATAAACAGTTCTGTGATTTTTATGGAGGAAACAGGTTAAATTTTTGTTTCTACTTGTATTTGTAAGTGCTCACTGATAAGAATCCAGTTTTAAGGAACCATAGTGTGGTAGTTAAGGTTATGTGTCAACTTGGCTGGGTCTGGTTTTGAGTAGCTGGGCAGCTGGATGTAGCATTTTCCATAAGACTGGTAATCAAGTCCATGGTGGAATCCACTGTGATCAGCTGAGTAGCTGCCTTAGGGATGTGGTCTGCTTCCAGTATATAAGAAGCATTGAGAAAGGTCTCTGAGCTTTTTGGCATGCTTGGACCTTGCATTTAGCCAAGTCTTCATTCAGCAGCCTGCCAAGTTGCCTGCTGATCTTGGGACTGTCCTGGACTTGAACTAGTGGCCTTCCATGTTGCTTGATAATCTTGGGACTATGCCATTTTACTTGTCAACCTTGGATTTGTCAGCCTCAGCAGCCAGCAGGTACCTGAGTGAAAAGACACCTCTAGCTCCAGTGGGTTGGGAGCAAGAGGCAGAGCTGAAGCCCATAGTTGAGGGGCCTTCACACCCAGCCCCTAGAGCTGGCACTTTGAATTCAGACTTCTAGCCTCCTAAACTGTACGAGAATAAATCCCTGTTTATTGAAGCCCTTAATTTGTCATATTTCTGTTAGAGTGGCACTAGAGAACCAAAACACACAGCTTCCCCTGCCTCTCACACCTAGATTCAATGACACATGTCTTCCTTTTCTAGTCTAGTGATGAGGTTTTGTTCCTGAAAGGACTTTTATGTTTCTCATATGGTCATTCAACAGATAGTGAAAGAGTAGTTTCTCCATGACCACTGTGCTATATTGCATCAGGCACTAGTTTGGTGGGAAATGGAGTTAGAAGTACCTTTCCTTCAGGATGAGACAATGTCCAGTTGTGCAGACACTGTATTTCTCAGATTATGAGATACATATTGACTCACATTTTAAGGTTTCTGAAATTATTTAATGTAGTGATTATTTCTTTATCTGCTCAAAACTCTTCTTGTTGTTGTTAGGTGCCATTGAGTCATCTCCCACTCATAGCAACCCTGTGCATAGCAGAATGAAACACTGCCCGGTCCTGTGCCAGCCTCATGATCCTTGCTATACCTGAGACCATCATTGTAGCCACTGTGTCAATCCATCTTGTTGAGAGCCTTCACCTTCTTTGTTGACCCTTCACTTTATCAACCATGATATCCTTCTCCAGGGAATGGTTCCTCCTGACAACATGACCAAAGTAAGTGAGACAAAGTCTGGCCATTCTCACTTCCAAGGAGCATTCCAGTTGCCCTTCTTCCAGGACAGATCTGTTAGTCCTTTCAGCAGTCCATGGTACTCTTAGCATTCTTCTCCAACACAACTCAAAACTTCAGCTCTTCTTTGGTCTTCTTTATTCATTGTCCAGCTCTCATATGCATAAGAGGCTTGGGTTAGGCACACCTTAGTCTTCAAGGAGACATCTTTGCTCTTCATCAGTTGAAAGAGGTCTCTTACAGCAGATTTTCCCAATGTAATACATCGTCTGATGTCTTGACTGATGCTTCCATTGGTGTTGAATATAGAACCA